CGAACTTGATGCTTCAATGGAAAGTCCTATTGTTGGTGTGTACGTTGCAACCACCAGGATCACTATATTCCAAATGCTAGTAATCAGGGTACTACTCTTTATACTTTTATAAACAACTGTATAAAATAAATTTAGGATAATATTAATATAAAAGGTATTTATAAGACTTTATAAACGGACTACATTCGCACATCGTATTTATTATTTTTACCATAATCAGTGTCTATTAACTCATTTACGGTATTTCTCGCGCAAAGCAAATAAATAGGATATAATGTGACGGTTTTGACGGTTAGGGCGCAGAGGGCTGCGGCCACAAAGGCATCGGACGGGTCGTACAGTTTCATGACGTCCGGCACAATAGTGTTGCCAAATGTCAAGTAACCAAATGTGCCAATCAATGTATAAATAGAAAATATAACAATCAGTGAGACTGTTAATGCCTTGGTAAAATTTGCCATTTTATTCTCAGCCATAACGTTGTATATTGGCACAACTAGCTCGTTAATTTGATATAGAAACATTTGCAATACAACACCCTGGTAGAGTGGCCAGAAACTAGGAATTTTAGGTAATAATTGCACATTCTCATTTTGCGGTAGGTCAATATATTTATATATTGTTAGAAAAATGAAATAGACAACCACATAAACACCTAGATATTAAAAATAACAATATAATTTATTTTGTAAATACTTGATAACATTTAATGCTTATATCGTAATAAATTTTTCCAAGTTTTTACCTAGCTTATTTAGAGGTTTCAAAAATTCCAGCGAGTTTGCATAACTAATTGGCCAGATTAGTATCACTGTAGTTAACGATATGGTAAACTGTCTGCTCAGGTACCAGGTGTCACAAAACCGGTCACCATACATGGTCATAAACAACCTATCATATTGATCACCGATGGTGACTAATAAAGTAATGCACAAGGTGGTACAGTAGATTGCGATTAACAAGGCCGAAATACGTTCAACAAAAGTGCCACATGTCTCGCGCATAACATTGTGATAATTGGCTACTTTGTATAAATCAGCGCAATAGACCATAATGTAAATAGTAGGCAAAGTGAACATAATAACTGCCAAATGCAACATGGTCGACAATAATAGGCCACCTTCGATGTGAATTATGTAGGGTATGGCAACCATAACACTGCCCACTGTTGCGTTAGTAATTAAAAATGTGCCCGATATCCAATTGATGCCCGGTGACTTATCATTTGTTGCTAAATCATTCACATTGCTATTTAAATTATCCTTGGTTATTTTTGTAATTTCCTTTTTCTTAGTAGCCATTTTACTCTACTTTGTATAAATTTATTGTTAACTTAAAATAATAAATTTTCAAAATAATATTAAAGCTATCACAAACATAATAATAATTGTATATTTAGAAATAGTATAATTATTTGTGTTTTTATAAATTAAGATTTGTTCATGTAAAATGATGATTATTATTAATTTGTTACACACGTAAATTATATTAGTATAAATTTTTAATTCAAATAAACTATTAATTATTAATAAAATTCTTTAGTAAAAAAATTATTTTGTATTAAACATGAAGTTATTTATAAACACATTTAATTTACATTATTGTTCAGCTGTGATCATGCTGTATTATCAAACAAATTTGAACACACTTATTAATAAAAGTTTTTAAAAATAAATTTTATATAATTTTATTATTTTATTATATTTAATTATATATGAAACTAAATATATAAACTAAAATATATCAATTTTGTTATTAACATTATCTAAATTATTACCATGATTATTAATAATATAACTATTACTATTCTTATAATTATTACTATTTACATTACAGATGATGCGTATTATCGGCGCATAATTTTTTGAACATTTAAATAAAATTTATATATATATAAACTAAACAAATTAAACTTAATTTTACATTTTCTAGCTTTAATTTTGATTATAAATAATTATATTTTGAAGGTAAAAAAGGCTTTCAATGTTGCTTGTTTAAGTATTGTAATAAGTTTATAAACTGGAAACTATGCATAAATACGACAGTAGTTGAAGCAATATGTAACTTTATTAAAATATTTAGATGGTAACATGAAATGCTAATAACTTTAAATTTTTAGTACTGATAAACTAATATTTGTTTCTAAATAACGTTAAGATTAGTGTTGCAAATACCAAAGCCGGTGTTAGTACCCGAGCCGAAACCGGCGAAACAGTCATGATTTACATTTTTATCCACCTGCAAAACCGACCATGATTTGTGTGACTTAATTAATTATGTTGTAATTATTGTGGCGAATGCACGCATAGTATTGTAATTGTTTATAATTTTACAAAATATATACGAATAATAACTTTGATAATTATAATTAAAATAATTTTGGAACTTGTTTGATATTTTTTATATTATTTAATATTTTTGTTTAATAAAAAATCTTGATTAGGTTAAGTATTTTCAAACATTAAGTTAAGTCAAAACAATATAAAAGTTTTAAATCGTAAATATTATTTAATGTAAAAGTGTTTAATATATGTTATTAAAAATAAATAAAATTAATTTAAAAATCTAAATATATAAATTATTCGTTGGGTACACACAATAATAAACTTTGCTGACTAGACCCTTCATAGATTAACTGATATATAATCATGGTAAAAATAATAAAACCTGTAACTATATAAAATAATCCGCTAAAACCTAACGAAACAGTTAACTTGTTAATTTTACTACAGCGCCATTTGTAGGCCAACATTATCATACATAAACCAGGTAACATTATATTAATAAATGCACCTAGTGAACTTGTTACTTCAATTGATAGGCCTATTGTTGGAGTATAAACAGCAACTAACAGGATCAATATATTCCATCCAGTTGTGACCAAGGTGCTCATCTTAATATACTTATACAAAACTGTAAAAATAAATAAATTATAATTTCAATAATAACACATTTGGCACGTAATATAAATTGGAATATACTATTGAATGCATTTTTTACCTTGATCATTTCCAAGTAATTCATTTACGGTATTTCGAACGCATAACAAAAACAATGGATATGTTGTGACGGCTTTGACGGTTAGGGCGCAAAGAGTTGCGGCCACGAAAGCATCGGACGGGTCGTACAGTTTCATGACGTCCGGCACAATAGTTTCGCCAAATGTCAAGTAACCAAATGTACCAATACTTGTGTACATTATAAACAGCGCCATCAGTGATACGATTAATGCCTTGATAAAATTTTTCATTTTATTCTCAGCCATCACGTGATATATTGGCACAATAAGCTCGTTACTTTGGTACATGAACATTTGCAACACAACACCTTTATATAGTAGCCAGAAACCAGGTACATTGGGTAATATTTGTGCATGTTCATTTGGCTTTAAGTCAATAAATTTATATATTGTTAAATAAATAAAATAGACAACCACATAGACACCTAGATGATTTACAAAAGTAAAAATATAAATTAATTAATTATATTGTTATAATTTTATATATTTAATTTTAACCTATCTGGTTAAGTGGTTTTAGAAATTCCAACGATTTAGCGTAGCTTAGAGGCCAGATGAGTATCAGGGTTGTTACCGATATAGTAAACTGCCTATTTATGTACCAGGTATTGCAAAACTTTGCACCGTATAGTGTGTAAAACAAACGGTCGTATTGATCGCCTATGGTAACTAATAAAGTAATGCACAAGGTCGAACAGTACAGAGCGATTAACAAGGCCGAAATGCGCTCAATGAATTTGCCGCATGTCTCGCGCACAACATCGTGATAGTTGGCCACCCTGTACAAATTGGCACAATAAACCAAAATGTATATGGTGGGCAATGTAAAAACAATCACTGCCAAATGCAACAAGGTCGATAATATTAGTCCACCCTCTGTATGCATTATGTAGGGTATAGTTACCAAACCGCTGCCCGCCGTGGCATTGATTATTAAAAATGCGCCTGATATCCAAGTAATACCATGTTGTTTGTTGATTTTTGAAATACCTTGATTTTTATCATTTAGTTTATTAATTGACAGTTCTATCGATGCTGTTTGCTGACACCCCGTATAATAACTACGTTGGTAATTTTTGTTTTTATCCAGTAAAAATTGGGCTTCACAATTTTCCATCTTGTCCATTTTAACAATAAATTACAAATAAAACCACGTTGTAATAATTAGTTTTGCAATTAAATGTCATTTAGTAACAGTCAAATTTTAACAGTTTACAAATACAATGTGGCATTTAATATTGTAAGTACTCTATTTCATTTACTCATTTATAACTTATAGATATTTGTTATGGTGATTTTTGAAGTACTTCAAATTTTTAAAATAATTATCTACAGTTAAAATTATACGTACTGTGCATAGTTTTAGTAGCACTGTGTTAATAACACAATTATTTGACGATGTTTTATTTAAAATATAAAATAATATTTTTCCGATATAAATAAATTACTATAATGAATTGTTTTTATATACATAGTATGAAGTGGTTTAGCAATAGTAATAGATTTGATTATTAAATCAAATAATATTTATGCAGATATTATAATTACCATAACTAATATCTATAGAATATAAATGATAAAATGTGATTTGTAGAACGCTAAAATAAATGCAACAATGTATCAATACTACTTTATTTAAAATTTTACACTATTTACAGTCAATTTGTAAAAGTTTTATTTTATTTCTTTACAATTATTGAGCAATTTTGATATTTTTTATCACATTTTAGTAAAAATTAGTTCATTTTAATAATTGGTCAAATAGGTAGTTACACCTTAAATAATTATTTATAGTTAAAATAGAAATTTGCTAAAATCACATTAATGGTGGACATATCAACTAATGCTATCAATTGCTAAAATAGTTACTATAGTTAAAAATAAAATATTATGCTATAATGATTAATAACGTGAAGTTTGAAATAATAGACCTAAATATTGGTAGGTTTAAATAATGCAATAAGTTTATAAACTGTAACAAATGCGTAAATACGCGACTATTTTATGTTATGTTTCATTTTATTAAATTATTGGATAACGTTCATTATCAAGTAATTTTTAAATAAAGATATTGAATATGTCATTATATTGAACAGAATTTTCAATATTGTTAAACACTCTTAACGGCCAGAGAGTGCCGCACTCGGCGACCATACCGTCTGTAAACTCGGTAAACAACTGGACAGACCTATGCTTTTGCTTAACATTATGACAATATGACATCATTGATGGCCAACTTGGTTAACATAGTTGGTGCACAAGGCATGTAATTAGGCAAAAATCATGCCTGCTAAAACCCGGCATTTGACCTCGACGTGTCATATGATTTTATTTATAATTTTATTAAATTACTGTTAAATAAACTCGAAAACAGATATTTTATTTAAAAATTTATCGATAGCTCTCATAGCAATCAGTTCTAATTAAATAGCATTTAGTAGAAAATAAATAAAAATAAAACATAAATAATTATTAAATAAAGTAGTTGCAGTTACATTATTTTCTAAATAAGTCACATTATATTACATTATAATGTCATTTGCCTGTTTGACATTTATATTAAATTTTGATGGATTCTAGATAAAACACGTGAACATATGCGGACAAAAACATATTACAATTTAATATTACTTAAATATTACAACACAGTTACTCATTTCCATTATAATAAAAATAACTTGAATAGTTTGCCAATCAATTAAAAGTAAATTTATTGTTTTACAAATATGAACTTGAATATATTAATTATAAACTTGATAATAATAAGCACCGTATGGTACGCGCCTGTTGCCGGGTATATCATAAACAATTTTGCCAAATGTATTGCAACCAATTTAGGCATTGAAAACACGCCAACCAATGATCACTTCAACACCATTGACCAGTCATTAGAGCGAGGGTTCAGTGATCTAAAAAATAACCTAGATAATTATGATTACGCCATGCAAACTTATGTACCGGATTTTTTTGAAATGATCGCGAGCGACACAAAGTTTGACACAAATTACCACGATAGCCTAAATTCGAGCTACAATAACCGGTTGGCCGGAATCAGTCAAACAATTATAGGTAATATAATCGGAGTTAAAATTCTCTAATAAATATGCTTGCTGAATAAAAAAAATGAATAAATCTAAAAATAATTTACAAATAATGCACATGAACATTAAATTTAAGATTTACATTTTAATTATACTTTCTAAAACAACTTATATAAAACAACATTGTTTATAATGCAATCTATTTGTAACTTTATTTAAAGGGTTGGCAGCGACTATGAGAACCTTGTTTGCCAGCGCACCAAACGCCCAGTCAGGCCACTATTCCGATGACCTAGCTCAGGTTAGCGCTCAGTATGGCGGTGCTGTGGGCGATCATCCCAATATGGTTAACAATGATACACAGCTGGCTTATCAGCGATGCAATCGAGCGTGGTATCAAGATTTACGCCAACCAATGATGGCAGCCGTAAACGCTCAGATACTGACCCGCCAGAGCCCAGATGGTCAGTTGCCCGCAAAATATCAATATTTACAAACAGCTAAAACAGCGCTGGAGTATGCGTTTGGTCAACTAGATCAGATACTTTCGGTTTATAATTAAATGCCTTAATCAATAAGTTATTTCACCGTGATTGCCTTTAATTTATAATTTTATAATTTAGTAATTTTTGCTTGTTTTATTATTAATTAGTTTTTTGATTTATTTATAAATTAAATAAATTTGGATGTTCATTTCTGGCTCCGATGAAAGTTTCATTGTTATAAATTGAATAATAACTTTGTCATACTGGAAATTACTCATCAGTATTTCAGTAATGAATTATAAGTTTTTTATAAAATATTTTTGATAATTAATATATTTCTCACTAATAACTTATTTTTTAATAACTAATGTTCAGTAATTTTCCACAAATTAATTATAACCAATCAAAATGTTTTTACCTTGAGTGAAAATCACTGCTATATAAGGAGTGCATTATTGTGTTGTAAATCAGTTCCCAGTTATATCTCAAATAAACTGTTCAACAAATAATTGTTTTCTTAATACAATGCCTTTGTATTTATCGGTCTTTGCCTACGATATGGTTGTGGGCCAAGACATGCCGTGACGGCGACATAAGGCAGCGAACAGTTGGGATTCGTTGGGAAACGTTTGATCGAACGATTCGGTCTTAATTGGTTTACTTCCGCTTCCGGGAGTGAACCGAATCTATTTAAAAGCTCTACCACTTGAGGGCGCGTCAGCGCACTCACCGCTACACTCTATTTACCAATTGTTACCGATATTTACCGCAATCAGTGCTTGAAAGGAATTTTGAGCATAACAACTTAATAAGGAGTTAAGTGATATACAGTATTTTGGTTATAGTTTTTAAAAATCTTAACTTGGTCGCGTTAACTTTGGCAAAGTTGTTATGATATACAGGCTACGGGCTATTACAATACTGTGATTATCATTACCACGGTTATAATTAATATATGTAATTTCATATTTGTAAATCAACGAATTATTTTTTAATTAAGCTATTTGAGTTATTTTTTATTATATTAAATTTAGAAAAAATAATAATAATTTATTATTGTAAGTATTCGTGAATTGATTCTTGTCCGAAATATTATATTAAAGTTACACATTACATAAATTACTGATGTATTTGTGTATAGTTTACAGTTTATATACTTATTTCATTACTTTAAACAAACAACATTTTAGACTAATTTTAAACTTCAAACATTTATATTATAATAATTATAAATCAATAATATCTAGTTTGTAAAAAATACCTTCCTCAAATTTCATTATACCAATCAATCAAATAAGCTACATCAAATCGTCAAGATTAAATTTTTAATTCAATTTATTAATTTATTTTGCATAGAAATTTTGTTTAAATCACAAAAAATTGTTACATATGCCAATATTATGGTTCCAGCCTAAAACACAGGAGCTGGAGGGGCGGCTTGCTATTTAGAAACCACTAGATATAAACAATTATATTTATTAACTAATAAAAAGTACAATGATATAGAAAAATAAAATCTTATAAATACAAATTATTGCCAAATATTACTATATGAACATTAAATAAATTATTACCATTACCATTATAATTATTACTAATAATTTATTAGTACTATAATTATTATCAGTATTACTACTATTGACATAACAAGTGATGGATATTTTCAGCGCCCAAATCTTCGACCACTTGATATAATATAATAAAAAACATGAAAACACCGGTTATTATAATAAACACTCCGTACGCGTACAGCGCTCGGGTTAAGTACCGGGTGACCAGTCCAGTAGGCTTACTACTGTCTAAACCATTTGATGTTGATTGATGATGGTGTAGAGTGGCCAGATAACCGTGGTCCGACTCTAAATTAAGTTTGGCTAAAGCAGTCATACATAGACCAGGAAATATAAAAACATTGCACGCGGCCAATGAGCCCAGAAAGCCGATAGCAATTGTTATGTTGGGTATGACAAGGGCCAGTACCAGGGCCACCATGTTCCACGTGCTGGTTATGACCACCCTGAGCCAATATTCCCGGGAATTGTATGGTTGGTCTATGGGTATGGGTTCTGTATGTATAGTCAATTGATTTATTAATTTATTATTTATTTTTATTAATTATTAGTTGTTTTTATTGATATTTATTGAGGGTTTGGTTTTTGCTGATATTTTTCTGTTATTGTTTATCATGATGTTTATTTAATGATATTTATAAATATAATTCTTATCGCTATTAGACTTGGTTACTTGCTTTGTGCACTTTATCATCATCAAAATATAATATCTATTAACCATTTAACAAACTTATTATTAAATAAATCACATTTTTAGGTCATGTCTCTCAAATATTTACAATAAATTCACATGACTTTTGTTTTAAGATTTTATATTAATCATAATCAGATTAAAGCATTTTTTAAATAGTGTACTATAGAGTATAATGTACCATAATCTATAAATTAAAGTGTACCTTACTGTATAGTTATGTAATATAATGTCTGTAATATTGTGTGCTAGATTTTTAATTATTAATCACATGCTATTTAATAGATAATAATTTTAAATGGATATTTAATTCATAAATAAATAAATTTATATTATATGATAGTTATTTTAAATACATATCACCGATTTCTAATCAATCACGTGTAACTTTAATCATTTGGTTATGCTAAAAAATATTTATAGTATGTACTTTAAACATCTCTCAAACACTTTATATAACACAATAAACTCGCATTTTTAGAAATAAATACACTACTTTAAATTTTTTAAAATTATTAAAATACACTATAAATTATTAAAATAATATTGCAATAAAAAATAAAAACAAAACACACCTGGTTCCTTGCAAAACAGTCCCACAAAAGTGTCCCTGCCGCAAAAAATCACCGGCGGGTACGTGGTAATCATCTTGATAATAAGTGCCGCAATTCCCGCACTAACCACCGGATCCAACGGGTTATACATTTGCATCACATCTGGCGCTACTGTACCGCCAAACGTATAATAGCCATACGTACCGCTCAGGCAATACACCACGTAGAGCACTGCCAGAGCCAGCCCGGTACTTTTGGCAAATTGACCTGTGCTACGTACGGATAGGCAAGCGTAAACTGGCACTACTATTTCGTGGGTTTGGTACGCAAAACACACCACTGGTAGCGCAGCCATGAAACTCATGGCACTTTCCGGGCGCGTACGTATGGGCCCGGGCTCTATGTCCAGCCGGTAGTACTCGTATACGTTTAGGAAGATTACGTAGAACGTGGCAAAAACTCCTACAGAATATAGCACGGTTAATTAAATGTTTTCATTTTGCCGTTTTATTTATTATTATTGTAGAATTTATAAGTGTTGCCTAAATATTTAACTAGATCAGTAATTAAATATAAATCTATGTAATGTTAAAAGAATTTTTGAGTGCATAAAACTGTACATATTTCCTAATTTTACTAAAAATATATTGATGGACATAATTAGCAATTTTATTTTGGTAATTATGAGTCAAAACCGTTAAGACTTTTAAATTATTTTTATGGCTTATTAAAACAATTAGGAAATTCTAAAAAATGTTATGTAAAAGATTTAACTCAATTAGTAATGAATTATTAGTCTAAATGTAAAATAATTTTGAACTTATAAAACTGTACATAATTTATAATGTTATTAAATGTACCTTGTTTGATATTATAAAGAATTTTATTTTGGGATAACGTATCAAGCGCTTATTCTTTAAGATTATTTTTATGGCTTATTAAACCGATTAAGTAATTTGAAAAAAATGTTACTTAAAAGATTTAACTCAATTAGTAATGAATTATTAGTCTAAATGTATATATAATATTAAAATAATTTTAAACATATACAACTGTACATAATTTGAAATGTTATTAAATGTACCTTGTTTGACATTATATAGAATCTTAGTTTGGGAATAAACATTCAGTTAAAATTATTTTTATTATTTATAAAAACAATTAGATAATGCAAAAATTATTAGAACTTTTTGATAAAATTAAACAAGTTAAAAGAATTAAAATAAAATAACTAAAAAACAATATTTACCAAGCAGATTAGTGTGTTTTAAAAAATCCAGCCTACGAAAATAGGACATTGGCCATATAGTCACCATCGCGGTAAACACAATGGTAAACATTCTGTTTAAATACCACGTGCGACAAAACTCGTGACCATAAAAGGTGGCGAACAGCCTATCAAACTGGTCACCGATGATAATTAAGAAGGTCACACATATGCCAAAACAAGTGATCATGATCGACGCGGCCGACATTTGCCGCACCGTATGGCCGCACATACTCTCCAACACACCATGGTAGGTGCTGACCCCGTTCAAATCGGCACAGTATACCAGAACCAACATGGTCGAGCCCAGTATCAGTAGCATGACCAACTGTATGACCGTCGCTATGCCAACGCCGCCCAACCGGTCGTAGGCCACCGGGTAGTTAAGTAGACCCGCCCCCAGCGCCGCGTTGACCAATAGGCACGAGGCCATTACCCAACCGGCCCCGGTGCTTTCTGTGGTGTTGGTAACATTGCCAGCGCTGATTGGGTTACCATATTTATTTTGACCACGTTTGTCGCGATTGTTATTGTTATGGTGCCTGTATTTCCATACATCTGAGCACTCTATCGATCGGCTTATGGCCGACGATATGGATAAGTCAAACGCACGGCGACTGATTTGACGCTCCACTAGTGGACTGTTTTCGTTGTATTCAATGTGGTATTCGTGCCTATAGGGGATGTGCAAGGGATTGAACATGGTGATAATTTTAAAATAATTGGCCCGATAATTAGTAAAGTGTATTGAAATATTTATATTTAATATCAATATAATTTTGTTTGTAATTAAGTATTAATTAATAGTTTTATTGAATGTTGTTTATTTAATTTTACATGTTTAACATATTGATTTTATTTAGTTTTTATAAATAATTAACTATTTGTTTGTTTATAACTGGGCTTTAATATTGCATTTATTGATTTCCAAATAATCATGTGATTTATGTAAATATTTAATTTATCAATGATTTATAATAAATATTCCAATACATGAATGTTTTGAAACATTTGGTTAATGTAAATATTGTAAATTAAAATTTAATTATCAAGTAAATTGTTGTCAATATCAGTTTAGTATGAATAATTCTTTATTGCATTTTGTAAATTGGTTATTAAACTTTTAAGTATTGCACACTATTCCTGATTGTAAAATCAATTTCATGTTAATCAATCATGATAATTATTAATTATCTAATAACAAATTCAAAATATAAATACTACTATATTTTTGAGAGCATTTTAGTAATTAATTATTAAAATTAATCTCAATACAATTCTTACCTATTATTATGATTGATATTCATCTCGACAATTTATCCGTATCAAATTATATGGAAACAATCAACAATTTATTTGTATATAGCACTAGGGAGACTTTTCAATTAAATATAGTGATATAAATTAAAATAATTAAAACTCATATAAAACAAATTCATTATTTAAAATAAAAAACATAATTATATTAAACACATTAAATACTTAATCATTAATTTATTTTATTTCGTGTACACAATATAATAAGTTCTCAATAATACTCAATACAGTCTATAATCACTAGACATTAAATATAAAACTAAATATAAAGTATTTATCGCAACGATTATAAGAGGTGTAGTGTTTTTGATAAGAGGGTAATGGGTTTAAGGGTTAACTATTGCACTCCAAGTCTAGGGAGAGAGGGGTGGGGTTGGGTATTGGGGTGACCATAAGACCAGACCTTTTTATCACATGATGATTAATAATTGATTATAATGTACATGTGTTTAGTGTACAAAAATAAACATTAGGACACATGTCCTTACAATGGTTTGTGTATATTAATAATAATGTATAATAGACAGGGTCTTATGTTTTTAGCTATTTGTATTTGATCTTAGATGTTTAATACATAGCAAATTCAGCATAATTTTTATTTAGTTTGTGATTGTAACCTAACTTACAATTTCTATGAATTAGAACAATTAAACAATCATTTTAGCTTTATTTTTTTGATAGCTTATAATTTTGGTATTTAATAATCGGTACTTAATTTAATCATATCTGCTATTAATTTGTTAACAATAAGTTATTTGATAGATATCAACAACCCTTATAAATTGCAATTATTAATACCGTTATTAAATATCTAGACACAAGTGTAAGTAATGTACATTAAGTATCGTAATATTAAATTTTATAATAATAAATTTATTTTTAAAAAAATTATTTGATTAAATATGAGATTAATATAAAATAAAAATACAGATTTAAATAGTGTTTTTACACAATTATCAAAATTAAAATATTTTAAATAAAAACTTTAATGCAATTTGTTGTTTAAACATTTTATCCCTAAGCAACCTAGCAAGAATAACAATTTAAGCAGGAGGTATGTGGTAAAAATTAATGTTTAAAAAAATATCAACCGTTTAATCATAACAATTGTGTGAACAAAACACTAAATTTTTTCGATTCATATTGTATTAGTAAAACCCTAAAACATACACAGTATAATTAAAAATTAATTAATTATTATGACGATTTTTAATTGGATTAATTAGATAAATCATTTCATCAAACCACCCCGATGGCATCCACTCCATGATTATCACTATTATTTTAACCAGGAGGCTTTCGGTCGGTTTATACATGAGCCGGGGCTCAGCGCTCTGTATGGCGTCGATCATATCGTTGGTGGCGATATCGAAATTTGTACTCAGCTGAAACATACCGATGCTGGCCCTGATCATCGCTCTTAGATCATGCTCATTTATCGGACCATAAGCCTGTTTCACCTCGTCGCTAGTGTGTTGCCACGTGCGACACAACTTGTTATGCCTGAGCGTTTCGTTGGTAGCCTGGGTGCTAAACCCGCCGGGCTCTATGATGGCCACCCGTACGCCAAATGACCGCATTTCCCGGCGTAATGTGTCCGAGAAGGCTATGATTGCGTGTTTAGACATTGAGTACCACACGCATAGTGGCAGAGATATGTGGCCCGCGGGACTGACCACGTTCACTATACGACCTAGATATTATTTGATAAATGAAAATATTAACTTATTTTATTTCAATAATTAATTTTATGCAGTTCATTTGAAATATGTATCTATATAAAATAGTGTATTTAATAAACAATTTTAATAATTACATAGTACAAATTTTTTAGAAACTAACCTTTTGACTTGCGGATAAGGGGCAAAAAAGTGCGAGTGACTCGTATTACACCAAACATGTTTACGGCAAATACGTGTTCATAGATCTCACGCGTTCCCCACTCGACAAGGCTATCGTCAACAATAGCGGCGTTGTTGACCAGCGCCCACAAGCAATCACCATGGCCATTTTCACTTAAATGTAAGTTTACATAGTCGCATGCCTTTTGAACTTGATCATGTTTAGTCACATCCATTCCTATGACATGCATATTGTGTGCAAACCGTGCATTAGATGTCAACTGCTGTGCGCCGGCACTGGACTCGGATATGACGGTCGCGTAGACCCGAAACCCGCGTTCATTGAGACGCAGCGCCAGGTGGTGGCCGAGGCCTGTGTCACAGCCTATACAGTAATATTGGCATTAATTTTATTATTATTATAAATGATAATATTTTTTAATTTATCATTGGTGATTTTATTGATATAGTTAATAACATTTATACTGATCTATAACAATATAATCAATGTAAGTAAATGTAATAACTAATAATACAATGTTTTATTATTAATAGCATACCTGTTATTAACACTGCTTTACCCATTGATGTTAAAATAGTTTTAGGCTTAAATTTATGCCATAATCTGATCACAAAATATGCGACAATAAATAGTAACAAAATGTTATTATAACTTAACATAATATGTATAAATATGTTCAAAATAATTATTTAAGTAATTTAAATTAAATTTATTAACAAATATGTTTTGAGCAAATAGTTTATTATAACCCCGTTTTGTTAATTAAATATAACAGTGACGATTGTTAATTCATATAGATGCGGCATATTTAAACTGTAAAATTGCTTATTACTTATAATTAAATTATTATAGAATGTTAAATGGGTAAAATAAGTGGTCATATCTATGCTTAAATTAATAAACTCGGTATTAATTATTTGATTAGACGTATGAACAGGGTGTTGAATGTATTTATCTGGCTAGTCATTAGACGGATAATTATTTTGTAATGTTATTACAATCTTTTACATTAGTTATTTTATTATACGTATACTGTACAATCAATTTTAGACAATTTCAAAATTTTATTATTAAATTTAAAATATTATTAAATATTATTAATTGGCCCAGTTTATATTTAATTATTTATTTATTTAAAACTGTAAACTAATACCATTATGTTTATTTGAATGTCTGTTTTACACAATGTTTTACATAACTGGTTGGTGTATAATAAACACAAGTTTTTAATATAAAATTAAGAAATAACCTTGTTTATTATTGTATAAAACATTTAATAAATTAATAGAACTATTAATGTATTAGTAAATTTGTATTTGTTGTCATTTATTATTGGGTGGCTAATTACAATATCATAAAAATATTTGTATTGTTTATAATTGACATAATAGTTTAAAACTGTAAACACATTTTAATAAATACAATTATTTTAATAAAAAATTAATAAATAATATAAATGGCCTGGTATGTAATTTCAAATGTTTTTAATTTATATTAATTAATAATAAAATTATACGATAAACAAATTATGATTAACCAAATTTATTACAATTGTAATTAAGCGCAAATTATTACGTAATGTTATTACAAACATTTACAATAGTTATTGTATTAAATGTTAACAATAAATTTCAAACGAATAAAAAAGCATTACTTTAAAATAGATTTATTATTATTTAAATTAAATTTTTATTAACATCATATAACAAATTGTAGTTACTGTGTACTATAATTTACTCATCAGGTTCCTTTTCCGAGTCAGTAGTCGGTGTTGTGGTCACTTTACTAGCAATTATTGCTGCTTTTTTGGCGGCTATAGCTTTGGCCATAACTGATTTCATTGCCAATTCTTATGCACAACAATAATTAATAAACAATATATAGCTAAGCATGCACAAAACTCCCATACACTTACCCTGACCCTTTGCGTTGTCTATATCGCACAGTAACTGTACTTTCTTATCGCCGGCCGACCGTTTGGGTCGCGATTTACCCTTATTTTTGGATTTTAGTTTTTTATCCACTGCGGATTAACATGTTTAATTTTAAAACATATATATAGGTTAAATTGTGTTACATTATTAAATAAACAATTATTGTTAATATACAACCTTCGGGTTCAGTCTCGGCAGTAGGCTTGCCATCAGTACCACCGGTGGTGACTCCCTGTGCGACTCCATTGACTAATACCGTACAAGTTATGTGAAACTCAAGGCCCACAGTTTGCTTCTCGACAGTTATTTTAACTTCTTGCTTACGTTTCCTCCCAAATAGTTGTAAATTAAAGTTTAATTAATTATTAACTAGATATAATTTTTTTAATAACAAATTTAATGTATTAGTAATGTTGGTTTACCTGTCGCGTAATGTCTGGATAGTATACATAGTGATATTATTATAAATGTCAAATGAGCACGGTGACAATTCATATTGTTATTTAATTTATTTATTACTTATACGATATTTGAAATTTGAAGTTTACATCTAAATTCAGTTTAAACAAATAAATATACTTTATTGTTTATAATATGCATAGTAGATTTTAAAATATAATTATGTTATAAAACATATGGTAAAATAATTAATATATCATTTTAGTCATATATTAAGTACGACATATTAAGAGGAATTTGTTGTAATTTAAATTATAAATTTAGATTATTTACTTTATAAAATATATAAATTATTAAATATCATTAAAATGCTATTAATTGGAGAAGTTTATAATTAATAATTTATTTATTAAAAACTGTAAAATAATATGCAAATTTTTATTTGAATGTATATTTTAACATAATGTTATAACTAGTGGAACAGCGGAAAACCCGACACAAATTTTTAAATATTAAATACAAAATAACATTGTTTATTATAAAAATTTCATAAATAGTAAAAATTAATAGTAAATTAAACTAATTAAAATAAATGTGTAGTTTTTGCCATTTATTATTGGGTGGCCAATTACAATATAATAAATAACTTACTTTGTTTATAATTAACATAATAGATTTAAACTGTAAACATATTTTAATAGATACAATTATTTTAACCAAAAATTTATTAAATAATAGAAATGGCCTTAGATGATGTCCGCGAATGTTTTTAATTCATATCAATAATTTAAAAAAAATATATTACAAACAAATTGAAGACATTTTTATTATAATTGTAATTAATGAAACTACTATACTATATATATTATCCAACTACTAAAAAATAATAACTCAATATTTAACCATTTACTTTTGACTTTTTTGATTTGGCAGTAGTAGTAGTCTCTATTAAACAAAAACATAATTTATTTAAAAAATACACTAATTGACTAAATATTAACTAGAGCAAACATCAACAATACCTTCATCAGTACTATCGGCAGTTGTCTCATCGGTTTCATCTTGCTCGGTTGTTTTTACACCATCCTTGGCCTCTCCCTTTTTGTCATCGTCCAGACTCGTAGGCAGGGGCTCCTCCTCCTCGTCGTCGCCCTCGTCTTCCCCCTCATCGTCGGTAGTGTTGCCGGTCGTGAGGGGTGGCCACAGACCGGTGGCCGCGAGATCTGTGTCGGCGACCGTAAAGTCGAGTCCTAACTCGGCCTCCAGTTCGCTGAGAGGGTCGCCCCTATCGCTGCTCTGATCACGAAAGCATAGGAAATTAAAGTCCGCTTTGCCCTTGATGCTAATTTTGGCGTTGGCAATGATCGAGGTGCTTTCAAACTCGACCAGTGGCTGATTTTTACGGCTTCTAAACACTTGTTTTATAAACATATGTCAATTATGGTACTTTTTTGAACTAGTTGTGTTATATTAGTTTGTATAGCAAATGTATAACTGTATTAAATTAATCATTATGGTATTGTTTATTTACTTGCCACACGAGGTATTTTGCATTCAAACCCAATTTTTGCACCATGTTTGAATAGTTTTTCGTCCAGGTGCTCGATTAATTCCGTGCCGTCGCCCTTTTTGCTTTTAATCTTAGTGTCTTCACCATCACCATCGTCCTTTTCTAATTGATTTTATTAGTTATATTATATAATTTAAATTTAGTTTACATTGCTACAGAATTACCTACTTGTTTGAATAGTCATTATGTTTGCAAACAACCATAGTAAAATTATTAATTGAGACATATAAATTATATTCATAAATTCTAATCAGCATTTCGTATCAACATAATTAATTTGGTATAAATTAAAATATGGCTGTATTATAAATATTGAGTATTATACAGTCTTTATGTGAATTTTTAATTACTTTTTTATAATTAGTATTTTGCTTTTAAAAAATTTAAAACATATCAAAAACAATAATACAATTAAATGCAAAATGCATAAAAAAATGTTGTTAGCAAATCAGATTTAAATCTTTATTTTCTAACATATTATAAAGTTCTAGCATTTTAATTGATTTATAAAAAAATTATACATTATAAAATTGTTTAAAACCATAATGATTTGAAAACCAATCAACAAAAAATAAAATTTTTGAAGTACATGGAGTACGATTATAAATATAGTACTTTAATCACATTTTATCAACATCTTAATTAACATTTTATAATTATTTGTTTATTTTTCACCTATGCAATGAATTTTTTTTATTCTCTACTTTTGTTAGGTCTTCAACAGTTTAAACGTTAATTTTAAATCACTTCATAAATTGCATTTTTTAAGATTCAACTAGATTATGTAGAATTAAGTATTAAAGTAATTGAAGATCCTATTAAATTTTATGTATTTAAAAATATAGTATATAAAAATAATCATTTATTAATTTATTCAGTGGTAAAAATATTTGATTGTTTTATGCGTATAGATATTTTAGCATTATCATTAAAAATAATATTTGTATATAGATTCTATATAAATTTTTTATATTAAATACTATATTTTAAATATTATCAACATATTTTTATATTAATTATTTAAATATAGAACTAGTTATAAATTAAATAATTGTATTAATTTGAGTTAATCGATAATTTATCAGAAAAAAATATATATAAAGATAATCAATATAGCTGAAAATTTAAGCACTAAACAGGTTTGGAAGAATTAAACACGTACATTTGTTCAAAATCGTAAAGACCACCAGTTTTACTCGCCGTATACACAGGCTGGTAGTTGTAAATAAGCATGTTCATTTCATCAGTCACGGCGATGGGTGGTGTCCACACTTTACGGCATTCATTGACAAAAAAGTTGGCCATAAATTGACCGACAAGTACTGCGTTTGCCGTATGGGGTATGTGTTTATGTGAGTCAAACTCGTATGCATTTTTCTCGGGATGATATATCACACCATATATGGGTCGCTCGGGGCTCAGGGACTCCCACGTGGACACAAACTCAACACCATTTAGGTCGACATTTGTGGACAGTATTTTGAATGTGGATTTCAGCTCGGGCGATGAATTGTATTGGTCCATGGTCAGGCACATGTTGTGATAGTTATGCGTTACGGCCTCTTTTTGCAGTATCTTGGTTTTAAAGTTGACATAGATTATAAAAATAAAAACAATAAACAATTAAGTAATTCGCTGCAATTAGTATTATTATGACCATATTTTAATTCTAGTTAAACCAAAATTGATTACAATTTTTTAATCAATAAATAATTTGCAAATTTTGTTTATCAAGTTTCTATATTAATAATTTTAATAAATGTTAACTGTTTTATTCAAACTTTAAGTATCAATAGTTTTCATGACACATAATATTTGTAAAGTATATTTACAATAAGTTAATAACAGTAATACAATAAAATTATTCTTGATGCGTTATAAAATAGTAAAATGATCTACCTCAATAATAGTGGGATTGGCACCAGAAAAGAGCCTGCTTTCTTTAAAGCCCATGGTCATATTGAGTGGAAGGGCAATATCATCGGCAGCGCACCGGACCACGTCGGGCAATTTGGACATAAATAGCGCTAGAAGCTCAAAACCTAGACACGTGCCCCATATGGGATACGCACGACTGGCATTAGCATGGGCGTATTTTATTAGATGAGCGCTGGCCCGCGCATAGCCACTGGTACGCAAGTCCACATCACCACCGGGTAATAGCAATCCGTTTGTCATTTCAATCATACGCTTGTAATACTCATCCGTTTGATTGACCATAATTGGCACCTGTAGTTAGCATTAATAAATAAATAAAGGTTATATTTATATGAGATTAATATGAAAATATAAATACTGTTGTGTTAATTTACAAATACATACCACACGAGCGCCGGCGCTCTCCAGGTATTTCACATAACTGGCCGCTATGTATGACTGATTGACTGGAATTGGGTATAATATCTTCTGCGCTAATACACCAACCAATGGCCGATCTGCTAAGCCGTAGGACACACTGTTATGTTGAATAATAGCCGAAAATGTAATTAGGTTAATTGTTGTATACAAGGTACACATTTTTGTTTAAATAATTTTACATTATCATTAATTAAAATAAACCATATTAATAAGTTATTCAGAATGAGTATTATGTTTCAATATAAAACAGCTTTATAATTACAGTAGTTATATTTAGATTAAAAAAATTATATGATTGCATAAAAGTAATCTCAAATAAATACCGTTCAATCTAACATAAATTTCTCTACAATACAATCATTATTTTTGACCAAAATTAATCCACAAAACAGCCAGGGCGGTTGTTTAGAAGTTTTACAGTTATTTCAATAAACAATTAATACATAATATAAATGGCCTGTATATGTGAACCAACGTTTTTAATTCATGTAGAATAATAATAAGGTTATACGACAAACAAATTATGTTTAAACAAATGTATTAATGAAGTTATTAAACATATGATAAAATAAATAAAACAACTAATATGCCATTTTAATCATCTATTAATTACGACATATTAAAAATTAAAATTTACATTATTTACTTTATGGAATATCTTTATTATTAAATATTATTAATTAAGGAATTAGGGAAGCATTTGATGATTGACTAATGTAAAACTGTAAATTTATACCATTAGGTTTATTTAAATGTCTGTTTTAACATGATGGTTATCTAATCGGTGCAGAGCCAAAGAGTATACATTTTTAATATAAAACAAAAAAATATAATTGTTTATTGCATTATAAAACATTTATAAAATAAATAAAATTATTGTATTAAAAAATTTGCATTTATAATTTTTTTATAATATAATAATATAAATCATTTTACCGTCATTTATATAAAAACTAAATATTTAATGCATTCTTGAATAATTCCGGCAAGTTTTTGCTCATTTTAATTACTAGTATCAATGCAAATAGACCATAGTATGAATATATTATATATCAATATATCTTAAATTTTTTAAAAATATAGTTTAAATTTTTATACCAAATATTAAATAATTAAATATATTTATGAATTATATAATTAATTTAATTTGAGTTAATCAATAATATAGCATTAAAAAGATAAATAATAAAATAAAGTAAAGTAACTGGGTACTCGATACAAGTGGTTTTGAATAATTAAACACATAAATCTGTTCAAACTCGTAAGGTTCACCAGTTTCACTCGCCGTATACAAAAGCTGGTAATTGTATATGAGCATGCTTATTTCATCAGTAACGGCAATCGATGGTGTCCATACTTTGCGGCATTCATTAACAAAAAAGTTGGCCATAAATTGACCGACAAGTACTGCGTTTGCCGTATGGGGTATGTGTTTATGTGAGTCAAACTCGTAGACATTGTGCTCGGGATGCCATATCACACCATATATGGGTCGCTCGGGGCTCAGGGACTCCCACGTGGACACAAACTCAACACCATTTAGGTCTACATTTGTGGACAATATTTTGAATGTGGATTTCAGCTCGGGCGATGAATTGTACTGGTCAATGGTCAGGCACATGTGGTGATAGTTATGCGTTACGGCCTCTTTTTGCAATATCTGGGGATTGAAGTTGCAATATATTTTATAAATAACAACAATAAATAATTTTATGCAATAATATTATTATGACTATATATTAATATTTCAATAAATGTATTGAAATTTTAAAAATTAAATGTCTTGGACTCAGGGCCAAAAAATTCTCTGCGGTTTATTTAGAAGTACTCTATAGAGACCAAAATTTGTTAAATTCGTTACCTAATAAATAATTTAAAATTTTGTTTATCAAGTTTACAGTTTCAATATTAAAAATTTTAATAAATGGATAACAAGAATACAATAGCGTTATTTTATGAAATAGTAAAATGATCTACCTCAATAATAGCGGGATCGGCACTAGAAAAGAGCCTGCTCTCTTTAAAGCCCATGGTCATATTGAGTGGCAAGGCAACGTCGTAGGCAGAGCACAGGAGCAAGTCGGGTAATTTGGACATAAATAGCGCTAGGAACTCAAAGCCCTGACACGTGGCCCATATTGGATACGGACGACTGACATTAGCATGGGCATATTTTATAAGTTGAGCACTAGCCAATGCATAGCCACTGGTACGCAAGTCCACATCACCGCCGGGTAATAGCAATCCGTTTGTCATTTCAATCATACGCTTGTAATACTCATCCGTTTGATTAACCATAATCGGCACCTGTAGTCGACATTAATTAACTAATTAGTTAATAATAATTATATTTATATAAAGCTACTATGAAAATATTAATAGTGTTGTGTTAATACACAAATACATACCACCCGAGCGCCGGCGCCCTCCAAGTATTTCACATAACTGGCCGCTATGTATGACTGAGTGACTGGACTCGCATACCATATCTTCTGCGCTAATACACCAACCAATGGCCGGTCCTGTAGTCCGTCGGATACACTGTTATGTTGAATAATAGCCGAAAATGTAATTAAGTTTATTGTTATATACGAGGCAAACATGTTTGTTTTTAAAGTAAAAACTTTTATACTATCTATAATTAATATAAACCCTTTGTTAGATTATTTAAAATGAATTTTATGTTTAAATATAAATTACTTAATAATTACAGTAGTTATATTAAATGTTTTATTAAATCTCAAGTATACTATTTAACAAATCGCAATCTATAAAGCTTTAAAATTTATTAGTTTATTACAATGTGACATGATCATTTATAAGTTAAAAATAATTTAATTTGTGG